TGCGAGGGCTCGGGGCAGGGCACCATCTACGACTATGGTGCCCTGACCATCGACGGGGACGAGTATATCCCGTTTAGGAATTACGCAGGGAAGATGGTGCTCTTCGTCAACGTGGCCACGTACTGAGGCCTCACCCTGCAGTATCTTGGTAAGGGTCCTGTGGGGCATGGGCACCCCAAGGGACAGGGAAGGCAGCAGCATCCAGGGGTACAGCCCTTGGGAAGTGCCCATGGTCCGTCCTGCTCCCCTCCTAACCCAGCCCTGGCTCTGCTTCCATGCAGAACTGAATGCACTACAAAATGAGCTGGGGCCCTACGGGCTTGTCGTCCTGGGCTTCCCCTCCAACCAATTTGGGAAGCAGGAACCCGGCCAGAACTCGGAGATCCTCCCTGCGCTGAAGTGAGTACTGGGGCAGGGGCTGTGGCCCCCAAAGGCACAGGGCTTAGGGCTCCCCACCACCCCTGTGCAGCACCAATGTGCCTGTTGCATGATGCCCTGCTCACCCTCCTCTTGCAGGTACGTCCGGCCAGGTGGTGGCTTTGTCCCCAACTTCCAGCTCTTCCAGAAAGGGGACGTGAATGGGGCCAAGGAGCAGAAGGTTTACACCTTCCTGAAGGTGGGTGCCATGCAAGGGAACACAGGGGTTACATCCAGCTTGGTTTTTGAAGGGGGCAAGACACTGATGCGCTGGCCCCCATTGCAGAACGCCTGTCCCCCGGTGGCGGAGGAGTTTGGGAACCCCAAGAACCTCTTCTGGGAGCCTCTGCGGAACCACGACATCAAGTGGAACTTCGAGAAGTTCCTGGTGGGCCCCGACGGCGTGCCCGTGATGCGCTGGTACCACCGCGCCAACATCGCCGTCGTCAAGAACGACATCATCGCCTACATGAGGCAGCTGCAGGAGCAGGGCCAGTAGAGGCTGGGGCTGCCGGTTTGAGGGGTGCTTCTCCCCTCTGCTGGTATCCCCATAGCTGCTTTGGGGCTGGCTCCCCATCCCATCATATATCCCAACAGCAGGAGCCAAACGCTTTCCCCTCTTCCATCACTGTTATCTCTGGCACTCCCCAGCCAGGATGCGGGGCTGGGCAATCCAGTGGCAGAGACCTCAGTGATGGGAGAGGGACATTCCCAGTAACCCACATCCCACCCCAGCAGTGACATCTCCTCCTGGCCCCCAGCTTGCCCCCTGCTCCATCACCCCGCATTGCCGGACAGCAGGAGGATGCAGGGGCTGCTGCCCCTGGAGTGGAGGACCACGTCTCCATGAAGGCTTGGCCTGAAAGGCCCTGGCATGGGGCGGGCCAGGTCTGATCCCACCGAGCACGGAGCAGCTCTTCAGTGCATTCGAGCTGCCGTGGTGCTGGTGCAGAGATGGGCTCCTCTCCCGGTCAGGGATAGCTGGCTCCTCGTCCCCCAGCATAGAAATGCCAAATAAAGGCTCTGCAAATGTGCATCCCCAGTTCTTGATCAGGGATGGGAGGGAGAGAGTGAGGGGCACAATGGCCAGGCTGCGGGTAGCAGCAGGGAGGGATGGCTCCTAGCTGGATAAACTCCCAAACAGGGATTTATCGTCACAGGCCAGCATCTGGGGAGAGGATGGGTGTTGGTGCAGAGCAAAAGGGGCTGAGACGTGGAGCAAAGGACCAGCCCTCAGCAAGGAGCATGCTTGCGTGCCTGGCTCCTGCTGTCATGCACGTGACAGCCATGCTCACACAAATAGGGCTGGTTATTTTTTCCTCTCCCCTTCCAGCCTTGTTTTCCTAGAGCAGTATTTGCTCTGTGCAGTTGGAAACACTGGTCCTAAGGCCATTGCTGCAGAGGAAGGCAGAAGGGGAAGTGGAGGAGCAGTGGGTTCCCTGCCCTGACAAAGATGGGGTCAGGAGATGAGAGGAAGAGAGGTTGAGCAACAGCTGCTGGGGTGCCCATGCAAGGGTTGTGGTCCCCTTGGTCTGGCCCCATGGCTACACCTGAGCTCTGGCATTGCTCCTGGTGCCGCCACCAAGACTGGCGCAGGGGAAGCAGCTTTTGGGATAAAACCAGAGAGACTCAGCTACACTTCAGTCCTTAAATAAATACAAAGACACCAACCACCCTCAGGCCGGGCCATGGCTGTGGCAAGCGTGGGCTCTCCCACCGCTGGGAGCACCCAAAGCCCCCGGACCAGGGCAGCTCCTGGGAAACGCCGGCTCCTCTTCCCTGAAGACCTGGCTCAGGGCTGCAGCGCTGCCAGGCCTGACGCCTGGTGGGGAAGGGGATGGCCGCAGGGCACTGACCCCACCGCGCTGGCACCTCCGGTCCCTCCTTCACGCTCTCCTCGTGGGGATGCGCCGCGGAGCTGCGCACGTCCACCGCGTGTCCGAGCACAGGGAGAGGCAGCTGGAGGAAGCTCCTAGATACAGACACACGGGCACACACACACACCCTACTCCTCTTCTGCGGGTAGCGCAGCGCAGCCGGTCCTTGGCGTTAGGGCAGTCTGGGACCTGCCTGTTCTGAAAGGCAAGAGAGAGGTGGGAAGGGGTGAGCGTGGCTCTGCCTGCCCAGATGAGCCCCATGGGAGGGATGCCAGCCATGGAATAGCCCTTATCCCACGTGTCGATTGCCATAAGCCTGCGGGATGCTAGGGCTCAGGCTCGTGCCCATCTTCAGTGGTGAATGCTCCATCCCTGGCAGTGTTCAAGGCCAGGTTGGACAGAGCCTTGGGTGACAGGGGCTAGTGGAAGGTGCCCCTGCCCACGGCAGGGAGCTTGGAATTAGATAATCTTAAGGGAAGGTCCCCCTGCCCACGGCAGGGAGCTTGGAATTAGATAATCTTAAGGTCCTTTCCAACCCAAACCATTCTGTGATTCTATGATTCAGATGCTGCAGGGATGTTTGGGGTGGGGATGCAGCAGGGACCAACCCCATGTCAGAATCAGCCCCTCAGCTGAACAGAGGTGCAGAAATGAACACTGCCGGGCAAGCTGTCCCCTCATCCCTCCCCCTAAGTGTCGAGCCAACCACCCATGGTCCCAGGGTGAAGGACAGGTTCTGAGCCTTACCCAAGTCCTTGGGGACCTGTTTCA